AGAGGAGCATGAAAATAATTTCTTGTCATCGGGGGATGAGGTTTGAGATTTCCCTGTCGTTAACTTGACGAGGCAGAGGAAAGCAAGCAAAATCACGTCCATCTATTCCTCTTAAAAAGAAAGCTTGCAGGTTTCATAGAAAGGAAGCAAAGAAGAGATAGGAGTTTTTGTGTTCTAAAGGAAATCTTTCCAGTTATCCCACATGCATGCAAATCTTTATAGTTATGCATTTTGGATGGGTAATGCTTTTTTTAAATGCTGAATTTCGCTGAAAAGAACTATAAATGATGGAATAATCTTTAAAAAAAACATGTATTTCAGGCAGGCTATCTATTAGTGGCCATAATTCATAACTGTCGTAGTAAACACTAAACTATTATACAGACATGAAACTGCTTTTTGGTCTGGTTTGCTGTGTGAAATGCAGAATGGTTTGAAGATTTGAAGATTTTTTTTTTCAATAGAAATTTGTCTTCCTCTCGATCTTCCAAACATTTCTTGAAACTTCTTGGTGAAGAGGAATTCTGGTACTTACTAACTTATGATTCATGTGTCTTGTAAAAGTATATGAAGACATAGCTTTCCAGTTTCCAATAGATATATTTTCTTTTCTTATTTTTGTTGTTGTAAGCAACTTGCTGTGTAGATGACCTACGATGTGAGTGCATCCTGCATGTTTTGTTCAGACATTGTGATTCAGTTATTGGGAGGGGGGGGGGGGGCTAGTGTAGCTGTTAGTTGACAAGGAATAAATATGTCTTTAGATTAACCTATTTTCTTAGAGAGCAAAATTCTAGAGTTAGATTTATGTTTGTATTAATATCAATGTATACAGAATTCTTGGTTCTCTTTTTTAGCATATATATGATCGAACCAATATTGAAGGTATGTACAGTACCTTAAAGGCCATGCAGATTTTACCTGTGAATAATATCAAAGGATTCCATAACTCTAAACTTTCCCCCGAAGTTGAGATAGCAATCGGCTTTCAAAATCAGCGCTGCCAAGAAGACTGGTAACAAATCACACATTTCATAACCTGATGATATAGCTCGGCCCTGCCTTGCTGGGAGATGGGTTAGGAGCCTGGTGAGGGTATAGGCCAACCTTAGGAGTCTTCGTCATCAAGGGACTGCTGCGCGAGCCAGAGGTTAATTGCAGCAGGAACCAGGCAGGAGCTAAGACTGCAGAGATAAGCTATTCTAAGAGAAGAACCTGGCAGGGATACTGAAAAAGTGAGAGAAAGAGAGAGAGAGAGAGAGAGAGAGAGAGAGAGAGAGAGAGGGAGAGAGAGAGAGAGAAAGAGTACAAAGGCTGAGAAAGAGGGGGGGGGAGATGGAGTGAGAGAAAGTGTAAGTGTGTGTGCAAAAGGAGAGAGAGACAAGAGAGAGAGAGAGATACAAGATAGAGGAAGAGAGAAAGAGTGAGGAGGTAGGGAGGAAGAGGATGGAGGGCGGGAGAGGAAGGAGAGAGGGAGATGGAAGAAGATGGAAGAGGCACCAGTTGTGACAAGAGGACCAAGATTTCAACCCACTGCTCCACTGAGGTGCATCATACCATTAAAGGTTGTCATACATTTGTGGCTCTATTGAGCACTCAAAAGGTATGCAAATGATGCGCGCGTTTTAGTCGATTATACGATCTATCTGCTCTCGAGTTGAGGATGTGTGCAGCTATCATACAAAGCTGGCATGCTTCATACGATAGGTGCATATACAGCCTCAACGAGAGCGAATAGATCATATAATGAATGAATGAAGATATGAATCACTTGTTTCATAGATCATTGTTATTTGATAATATAAGGAGTCATGTTAAGACTTATTAAGTCTTATTAATTTCAAATAAATCCCAACTTTAGTAGACTTACATGTACTGGCCTACTAGCTGTACTTGGGGTAAAAGCACACTGAACTCTATAAGCAGTGTAGTGCAGCGTTACGAGCGCATACCTACGTATGAACATACTTTATTATCGCACCTAACTCTACGCGCAATGCTCAAAGACAGATGGATAGTACTGGAAACTTTTTCATAAAAAACATATGAAAATCTCAATACATAAAACTCACATGACTGCATTTGACCAATAATTAGATCCCTTTAATCTCATGCTACTGCTTTTGTAGGGCAAGTTTCTTTCAGAGGAATAATGATATATTCCCAATTGCCCATGAAGGTTTTGAGAAATGTGTCCCTTAAGAACTGTGGTTTTCCTTAAACTTCAGAAAATGCATGTTTCATGATGGATGATGTTTCTTTATCATCATCCCATCATTTCAAATGTGACCGACTTTCCATGATATGCTGCCCTATAACTTCATGACTTAATAGGTTTGTAAAGTGTATGGTGTTCAGTTCAGTTCAGTTCAGTTTATTGATCGGGACTTTTAGATTTGCGTGGACTGATACGTGTGACGTTCATTCAAGGCATTGCATTAAAAGGAAGTTGATCGTAGCAATCCATGTTGTCGTTGTGCAAATCTAAAAGTCACGATTGTCATCATTTCGCAGCCTGGGCTGAATTGCATTACAGTTTACAATTAAAAACATATTTCTTTCCCAATTGTTTCAAATAATACTAGTTAAAATACAATATAATTAACAAAGACAATGTCATCAATACTTAGTTCACTTTCTAGCAACAATTCACAATATTAGCAATAAGTATAATGGTGTAGAGATGTGAAAGCTCTCTGTCCCCCATGGAGGAAGCCAAGCCAAGAAGAAGAAGACAAAGCATTAAATACACATCTGCCACTCTCAACCCAGGGGTAGTCATGGAGTTTCAAGTAAAATGTCTTTTTTGTGTGTGCATAAAGTCCAGCCGAGGACAAGGTCATAATTGCAAAAAATGCTTTTTAACATCATAACCTCTCAATCGCAAAAGGTGTGGTTTGTTCCATGATACTGTACATGTTGTTACAGCTGCTCATGCAATCTCAAGATATTCCTAAAGAGTACAAGTAAATTTTTATGAGAATATTCAATCAACAATAAAAAAATTAATTCTTTACACTTGTTAACTTTACAAAGTCTCATGTTAATTTGTAGTGCTGTAGTCAAACGTTTAACCGTCCGGTATCCGACCGCCCATGGCGGATTCCGTTTTCAATTGGACGGTTTCGTTTTCCCGTTTTTTTTTTTTTTTTATGTTTTTTTTTAATAATTTTTTTTTTTTCAATAATTTTTTTTTTTTTTTTTTTTTAAAGTTTCGATTTATGCCCCTCCACCTGGCACTATGCCTGGCAATTTCTCCCCGCTTAGTAATGTGATGACTTACCACTTGGAAACTAGAACAACACTCCAATTTGTCTGTCATCTTGGTTTGAAAGTAATCTTTGTAATAGATCTCAATATATATTCATCCAAGTTTAACACATGGTGTACCACAAGGTTCTATCCTAGGTCCTCTACTGTTTTTAATTTACATTAATGATCTTACACATTATTCTAAAAACGACATTGTTACTATTATTTGTGACTAGTTCACAAGCACAAATCGGCGCCTTCAATTAAATCACCTCGCAGTCTTCCCCGCTTTTTCACACGGCCAAAAAAAAAAAAAAAAAAAAAATCATTTTTTTTTTTTTTTTTTTTCCAATATTTTTTTATATAAATCGTTTAACCGAAAACCGTCCGGTTTTGACTGGCGGTTAAACGGAATTGAAGATATCCGTGATGTTACAGCACTATTAATTTGCAGGTATTCTGATAATCTGATTGGAATATACACTGTTTGTGAAGCTTACAATCGGGAGTGAAATGGAATATGAATGCAGTTATATTGAAGATATCCGTGATGTTACAGCACTATTAATTTGCAGGTATTCTGATAATCTGATTGGAATATACACTGTTTGTGAAGCTTACAATCGGGAGTGAAATGGAATATGAATGCAGTTATAGTATTCTACATCCAGCGTGCATGTTAATGTTTGTATGTTTTGTTGGCAGGGGCTTTCAAAATTTATCATCGATGCCATGTGTTTTATCTCTGTTTTAGTTTGAATGCCAATATACATGTATATATGTACAACGGAAGGGGTATAAAAGGAAAAGTTGGCAGCAGAGCTAACCAACTAAGATCATTCATAATTTCATTTTTTTCTAGATAGCTTTTCATGAAAAATTCCCCCTTAAATGTCTGATGAATACATGCATGTTAAGCCAGGTTTGATTTATTTTCCCTCATATGCATTTCAAATTTTCAATCTGCAGTTATTGTGGGCTTTTAGCATTTGATGGGTTTAGTATGTTTGGTATGTTTTCAATGAATCACAGAAAACATGTTCTTAAACTTAAACAACCACATTCTGTACACCCACATGTTTTTATTTATAAAAAGTTTTGAAAATGCAATTATTTATTTGGTTAAGCTGAAATTTTGAGTTTGCAACTGAAGCAGTCACATTTAAAAAAAAATTATTTAATTTTTGAAATTGACTATTGCCATCTATATAATCAGCAGTATCTATTTTTTTCATTCTACCCTTATATTCCAATATAGGAATACTTTTAAAATCTATACACTCAAAGCATTCAGATAGTAACTGGCATGTAGTGATTAAGAAAGAAAATGCTGGAAATTTCAAAGATGGTTGATTCATTATTAATTAATTAATATTTTTGTGAGTGATTGGTTAAAGATTTTCTTACAAGCAAAATTTTAGAGAAAAATGTACATATTAAGTACAAAGAGGCACATGTAGATAGAAAGATAGACATATATAGATGAACAGATAGGTAGTTAGAGAGATGAATATAATACTCTGCAAATGAAGGTATATAGAAGCAGCGTATTTCTACAGATACTGGCACCCAGTACACACAGAACTAAGTATGGAATTATAATATTGTCGGAGGGCAATTCCGGCATGATATATTCTGCCATATGCAGCCTCCATCGGCGGCGTAAGCATTCCCCCAGCTGTGCAGTCAGGCATGAGCTAAAGAAGAGCCCTCAATAATATTAAATGTCGTCATCTTCTTGCAGGCAGGCAGGCAGGCAGGGAGGCAGCTCTGCGGCGGCCGCGACGACGCACATCATCCACGATCCAACGAGGCAAGATTCGATGACTCCACCATCCCTTATTCGTGATGCTTGCAGCGAACAAAGACTCGACTGTGGCGCGCTCATTTTCGAGCCTGGCGTCAACGGCCTTACCATCTGGCTGATTTGCAAATGCGCAGGGCAAAGGAAGACATCAGCGTCTCCTTCTTCGTCAGGCTTGGCAAGACAAATTCCAAATTCGACGAGTTTCTCGTATGGATGCTCCACGAGAACTGATATGCCGTGTCATGTTGAATATATTCATTACCAGGGCAGGATATGTAGCTCCTAGGTCTATGTGCTGGGTGTAGAATGCTGGTATGATTTCAGTTTTTGATGCCTAGATATAGTGTATGTGCAATAATATCAGAAGTTAAGTTAAAAACAATTTTTAAAAGCAGGCTGTATTCTTCATGATGGGATTGTCTAAAAATATTAAACTGATTTGCACTAACTCCTGTAGATCAGTAAAGTCATTATAAGAGCCATAGTAAAAAACATAGCTATTTATAATATTCTATCTTTCATCAACTAATCAGCATTATAAGAGGCATTTTAAACATTTAGCTAGTTATAGTATTATAATAATAACAATATGTTTATTTATATAGCGCCGGAATCCGCCAGGCTCTGACGCTCGTGGCGCTTTACACATATTACCCTGGTAGTCGATACCTTTCATCAACTAATCGATACCTTTCATCAACTAATCAACAGGATTTTTATTGTGCTCTTTAAAAGGAATGCTATTTATGTCTTTTTATAAAGATTCTGTAGAAGATATATATATATATATATATATATTTCTCTGAATTTAACCACACATTTCTTGATACCTCTTGCGAAGTAAAAAAGTTGAATGTTGCAGCTATATTCTGCCGTAATTGAGATAATGTGTTATGTACTCAATTATGAATTAGATTTAATGACCTGCTAATTGCTCTCACAGGTAGCTCTCTTTACCACTTCACCCCCCCCCCCCCACTCTCTCTCTCTCTCTCTCTCTCTCTCTCTCTCTCCTTCTTTCTCTTTCTCTCTTTCTCTTTCTCTTTCTCTTTCTTGTTCCTGATATCTCTCTGTCTCTCTCTTTCTCTCTCTCTATCACTCTCCCTTCCTTTCTTTCTCTCCCCCTTCTCTCTCTCTCTCTCTCTCTCTCTCTCTCTCCCATTCTCATTCTCACTGTATTTCTCTCTCTCTTTCTCCTCTTCTGATATGCTGTCCTTTTTCTTTTTCTCCCCTTTCTTTCACACTCCTTCTCTCCATCTCGCACTCCTCTTCCTCTCCTATGAAGTATTTGTTTCACCCACTAGTATTGCAAATAACTGTACTTCAATAATCAGAATATGAATTGCATACATTCGTTGTTAGGTAGGACAACCTTTCTCTACCTATCAATTTACATGATGACTTTAAGATTATATTACAAAGATGGTCAAGTGTGAAAAACAACAGGATATCTGGTTTTAAGAGATTTTTTTGAAGTCTGTTCATGTGAACTCCTGTTTGAAATCACACCCCTCCCTCGTTTAATGTATTAAATTAGCTGATTTTGGTGATGCATGCATGTACCCAAGACCATCTGTGGCACAGTGCTCTTGTGTTCTTTATCATCAGCACACTGACTTGAAGGTGTGCAAACGTTAATGCAATTTACTGGAGAGCTGCATGCATACTGTAAGCGGTCTATATGCCATGTGTAAACGAGCCCTGGAGTGTGTGTATTTGAGAGTCATCTAAAGTCTATAGACTTCCGTGTGAGTAGTGGATTGTTTTTGTGTGTGTGTCAGTGGGTGTGTTCATACTGGAGTGTACTTTAATCCGTTCCTATACAGTTTAGTTGATTTACTGGAAGGCCAAGTCTAATTGTGCCATTATCCATGCATATTCAGAGCGCAACTACAATTTAAATGATAAGATCCATTTCTCAAATGCAATTTCGCATTACACCCGACATTGTGGTAGGGGTATATATCGGACACCAAATCTGCCTGCGATCTTTTTTTGGCTAAACTTCCGGTAAATTATAAGAATATTGATGAATTTAGTATCAGTTTGTAAAAAAAAAATAGTGTTTTACAAGAAAAATTATGATTATTTTTGTTTTGTTCGTTTTTTTTTTTTCCCCTTTTTTTTTTTTTTTTTTTTTCCCCCTCTTTGAAATGTCAAAGTTGGGGTGCGGCCTATGCGGCGCTGCGGCCTTATCGCCAGCAAAAACGTTACCTTTCAAATTTACTCTCAAAAATAGAAGATTTTGAAGATTTTTTTTTACAAAGACTATCCAACATCTAACTCTGTGATCATCATTGTACCGGTATCTTTATCATCAGCAGAGTTGCATAAATCTAAAGATCTAAATAGGCTTAAAAACAAATAAAGGGTTTGTAAGACATGTAATGATATTTTTCCCCTCCTTCCAATAGAGGGGTTATAACTAAACTGCGAACAAAAAGAGGTAGTTTTGTTATATTGCATGCTACCTGGAAATACATTTAGTGAATCATCCCTTTGCACAGCTTGTACAATGTTCGCGAACAACGCCATGATAAGCCCTCTATTGGCTTCACATTTGTGGCCAAAGCTACCAAAATCCACTTTCCTAACCCGAACAGGATTAAATTTGCATCAGAAATCCAATTAGTTTCCTTGAAATCCAGCCCATCTCCCATCCTCATTTTCCTCACCCTCTAACCCATCCCCTGCTTATCCCCTACCCCGGGATCGTTAAGCCATTGGGTTTGTATGAAGCAGTGATGGATCGGTTGGGTATGGGTTAATGAGGCCTGGATGCATTCCGTTTAATGGCAGGAGCATAAAAGGAGGTTTTCATGTCCAAGTATTCATGCCTCTAATCCTTGTTCATGTTCAACAGAACGGCAAACAATGGGGGAAGGGGGATTGTGAGTGGGGGCTGTAGGGGTAACATGTGAAGGAATTGGTTCCTTTGTGTAGTAGGAGCGGGCAGGGATGATCTCAAGTGGTAAAGGGGGTCTTTTGTTTTGAGCCTTAAGGTTTGAAGCAGGAGAGTAAAAGAATGGCAGATGTTTAGCGATTGGAGAGAGAGAGAGAGAGAGAGAGAGAGAGAGAGAGGGAGAAAGGGAGAGAGAGAAAGAGAGAGAGAAAGAGAGAGAAAGAGAGAGAGAAAGAGAGAGAGAAAGAGAGAGAGAAAGAGAGAGAGAAAGAGAAGGGGAGAAGGGGGATGGTAAAAATAAAAAGGAGATGGGAGGGGGGTATTCTCTGTAGTCTGTATGTAACATGCATAGAGAAATTGAGGGGAGAGGAACAAAATTGGAAAAGAAGATGATTATTTTAATGTAACAACACTAACAACAACAACAACAAAACCTTACATGAGAAAAAGAAAAATCTTATACATATTGGTCGGTATGGGAAATTATGACAGGAAAATAATAGTCTGAATGAGAGAAATGGAGGAGGAAATGGGAAAAGTGATTGATGAGAATAGAATTATCCAATTCATTCATCAATGGATAATGTAATCTATTAGCAGTCTTGAGATATGAATCATGCATCCACCAATCGATGCTCCTAGAGTTTATCAAGTAGGTGTGTTGACAAAGGAGTAAACAACAAAATAACCACATCCATTCCTTACAAAGAAACAGTGAGGTCTCCCTCTGGAGGGCTTAGCTAGGAGAGGGGATAACGTGCAGAGAAAGAGAGAGAGAGAGAGAGAAAGAAAGAGAAAGGAAAGCCGCCACATTGGCGAAGGCTTGTGCAAAATAAAAGAGAATTCCTGGCTGATGTGCGTGGTTTGTGGTTGAGGGGGAATTAGAGCCTTAGCAGCGCCACCCTGGCTCGCATGGATGAACAGGGAAAGAGGAGGCCGAGAACAGAATAGGCTCGCCGAGGGAAAATATGGTGTTTACTGCTCCTGTTTAATTTCAGCAGCCCACGACCACTTCAGCAGCGTTGTAGCTGTAGCGAGCAAGGCACAGAGTAGGGAGATCTTTTTTCCTCTTGGCAGCAGATGTACAGATTCCCACGTTATATATGTCCGCCATCTAGTTTAGGTATGAACTCCGCTAAGCACGAGATACTGTTATTGACATGGTATGCATCATCATCATAACATTGTGCGTGCTTTGATTGTGAACGAGTCCTGCGTCCAGTGCTGATAGAATCGTAGCGAGGGGACATTGGCTCGGTCGTGTGATTTATTTAAGAACAGGCCGATCGGATTGACAGTGTTTTCTTCCCCTGAGGAGGTGTATCAAGCCTTGGAAAGTGGCCCGTGGTGCGAGGAGAAGGAGAAGGGGTAGAACGGAGGTAAGTCGGGGGTCATGTGTATGATTTCTCATCTGTATGCAAGTATGCTGAGCAGAGCGAAGGCCCATTGTGTTGGTGGCATTGTGGGAGAGATAGCTAGCCGTGTGCACATGCTGCCAGGACGGCGCTCCATTGTTTACATGCAGGGGCACATGCAGGCGAGCATGCATACAGCCGGGTACGTGTGCATACGGCCGTTGTTGTGTGTTGGAAAGAAAGGCCACATTGCACTGCAGTGTAGAATGCAAGGCAGAGGCAATATAGAGAGCATGGCTGATTATTATATGTTTTTTACAAGGTCAACTGTAACAGAAAATATAGAAACTGATTATGAAACTAGCTTTTCTGGTTACATATGATACAACGTACCAGATTTTGTTTTCAAGCCTCATGAGGACAAAGCACATTCAGAAACTCCCCACATTCTTGAAGTAAACAAAGGATTATTGGTACATATATCAATGCACCATGCAGTGACCACTGCATTCTAAATGATTTGAGTCATTGATTGTGTTAGCTCGTCTCAACATTTAATCTTCTGAGAATATACATTTAATCACTGGAATATAGCACATATTAATATCTGTACTGCCATCAATGGAAAAAGAATTGTGGGAAATTTGTAGAACATCTATTGATCCATTCCTTTGTGTATATAATGTGCTTCGGGTTGGAGTATATGGCACAAAGACAAACATGGGTTGGAATCGAAAGCAGAAGTCCATTGTAAGCCAGGCCAGATATAGTCAAAGCCTAGGAAA